ACGAGAGAGGGAAGGGAAAAAAAAGACCCGAAATAGTTTCCTAATATATTAAAATAATAAATGTAGACAAAAATCGAGGAAAAAGTAAACATGAAAAAAAGTCTAATTTTGGGGAAAGCCAAAATGGGATAAAGTTAAGTGTTTACGGAGTTGAGAATAAAAACTTCTTTTAATTTTTCTAATTGTTGATTATTACTTAAATCGAGATTGGTTAATTTATTACCGGAAGCATATATTTTCCGTAAATTAGGGCAATTGGTAATAGTTAATTGGGTAAGTTTATTGTTTTGACAATTTAAATAAGTTAATTGCGGGCAATTTTTTAGGTGAAGTTGGGTTAATCGATTACCTCATATATCTATTATCTCTAACTGGGAAAAATCCGCAATAATTGATTCTCCCTCTATTTCTCTTCCTTCAATTTCTTTAACTTTTTCCTTATTTGGATACTTCTCATCCAACCACTCCTGAGCGTTTACCATTTCTTTTTTTATTATCTATTATACATTCTGACAAGACAGAAAAAAAGCCTAAGGGGAAAGCCAACAAAAAAGAAATTAATTAATAATTATGGAAATAGCCAGCAGAACCCCACGCAGCCAACAATTTTCTACTCGGGTTAAAAAATCCTGATTAGCCCAGTTGAAAAAAATTGCTTACGAAGATGAAATTGCTAGTCAAAAACATTAGATTTTCCCCCTCGGTTTTTTCCTTTTATTGTTGTTAGTTTTTGTTCCCTCAATTACTTCCGGTTTAGTTTGATTACTAATCACTGGTAAAGGCTTAATTTCACCAGTTTTTTCTCCGGAATTTCTTATTTGGTCTTTGGCTAATAAAAGTTCAGTTCTAGTCTCTTGTAATTGGGTTCTTAATTCTTTAATTTGATTTCGTTCCTTGCGGCCAAAAATACGATAAAAAATTCCTCTTAGTCCGTATCAAACTACAAGGGCGGCCAAACCAATAATAATTTCGTAAAAAGCGTTAGGTATGTCATGAGCCGCAGTTCAGAGTTGAGCGACATTTAATCCACCCTTAATAGTTTCTTGTCATTTTCCGGGTATGGGAATATAGTCAGTAATGAATACTCCGGCTGAAAATAAATTACCTAATCTTTTTTGTCGGATGGCTTGGTTGAGTTCATCATCTTTATCCCGTAATTGGTCTTGAAGAGTTTGTTTTTCAGTTTGAAGAGTAGTTTTTTCGCTAGTTAGAGTTCTAATATTATTCTCGGCTTGTTTGTTTTGGTCCTCTAGTTGGGAAATTTTGTTCCTTTGTGATTCATTTTCATTATTTAATTCCTGTATAGTTCCTACTTTTTTGCTTAATTCAAAATCTCTTTCTCTGATTGTTCCATCTTTTTCATTGAGTTGTGTTTGTAAATTTTCTTTCACACTAATCAGTTTCAGTCGTTCAATTTCTAACTCAGGAAATTTTTTGATTCTTTCTTCATTATGATTTTTGAAATTTCTCAACCGAACTAGTTCTTTATCTTTTTCTGAAATTTCGTTTTCCTTAGTTTCTATTCTTGTGAGTAAATTTCTCTTTTCTTCCTTTAACTGTGCTTTGTCTTGTTCCAGTTGTTCCAATTTTTCACGAGTTTCTGCCAGTTGTCTTTCTAGTTCGGTCATGAGACTATGAGATTTATTTAGTTTTTTAACTAAATCGAAGATTTCGGCTCTTTTGGCACGCAGAAGTTTCCCTAGATTAGCGGCTTCTTGCTTTAGATTTTCAATATCTGTTTTTAAAGAATTGAGGCGGTTAGTTTTGTTTTGAATTTCCACTTGGGAAGCTCCAATTAAAATTAGGTGGGTTTTTCTTTCTTTTTGCAACTCTTCCAAACTAACCTTTTCCGGGCTAACTAGAGTGCGATTTTTCTTTAATCTTTGGGCTACTTCAATAGCCTTCTCTTGATAATTATTGACCTCAGTTTGGAGTAATTCAACTTCGTGTTGTAAGTTGGTTATTAACTGCTCTTTTTGGTTGACTTGTTGGCTAATATCTTCCTTTTGAAGTTCTCAGGCTTGAGCTTGGTTTTTTCAATCAATTATCTGATTAGTTAAGTCTTGAATTTGAACAGATAGTTTACTTTTTTGTTCTTCAACTATTCTTAGTTTAGTTTTGATAGAGTCTAATTCTTCGGCCAATTCCTTGACTTTAATAGTTAAAACCACTTTTTCTTTTTTAGTTGATTCCAGTTGTTCTTTTAATTGTTTTCTCGCTTCTTCATAACCTTTTAATTCTTTTTCTCCTCGTTCTTTAAGTTGTTGTTTCTCTCGTTCTTTATCCTCCGCTTTCTTATTTGCCGTCTCTAATTGTTGGTTTTTGGTTTCTATCTCTTTATTCTTCAATT